GCATTGCAACATTAAGCAATTGGTAATTACATATAATAGTTTTGTCCTAAAAAGTATAAAATTTTGGAAAAAAATGTTCACGAACATTAATTGTCTCGCACAACGAGTCTGTGTGGAAAATGTCAGCTCGATTAGATCACGGGAAGTGGGTTAAAAAACAACGACCGAAAGATTTGCACGGTCTTAAGCAAGCAAGCGAACTTAATATAAAGGATTTAAAAAGAAAGTGAATAAAAATTAATACAAATAAAACAAACGTATAACAAATATGAATAATAATAAATAATAATTACATTATTATGCAATTATCACTTTTATTCAATTAAAATTTTATTCTTTTTTCTACGCACGTGGCTTTACCGAAAGAACCAGATAGTATGGATTCCTTGCAGTCACGAAAGCTTCAAATCAATATTTATTTGTATTTGGGGCCGTCCATAAATGACGTCACGCACCTAGGGGGGGGTCAGACATTTGTGACGATGTGTGACGAGGGGGGGGGGGTGAGAAATGTGACGTCACATCAAAATGCGCAACTTTAAATCAATATAGACAACACGTTCTACTTACTTAAATAGACTTTTTAATAAATGTTTTCTCCTACAACATCAGAGTGCAGCGCCACATTAAATACGCACTACAATGACAATAGTTTAAAGCGATTTGAAGCATGTTTTATTTATTTTTGAGGGGGGGGTCTGACTTTTTGTGACGCCGTGCGACGAAGGGGGAGAGGGTCAAAAATCATCCAAACTCGCGTGACGTCATTTATGGACGGTCCCATAATATTGTTCTAAGAAGCAGTCCCGCCAACAATAGACGGCCTTAATGATAATAATAATAATAGTTTAGGGTGTTGTGTGTTATCCCGATGGTGCTTGCCAAATAAAACACATTCCTGCGGAGGGAGCTGGTAGGAACGTTGGGTTGCTCGGTCAATGGCCAGGGTCAACGGCGGCGTGGTCTATTCCGCAAATATGCCCGACTGTGAGGGCGGGCACAAGCCGGCGTGAGTAGGTTAAACATTGAGTTTTATAAGGGCACCACGGGGTGACCAGTCCCTCCCCACCCAGCCCCACCCCTCCCACCCCCCACCCAACCCCACCCTCCCCACCCGGCCCCTCCCCTCCCTCCCCACCCAGCCCCTCCCCACCCTCCCCACCCGGCCCCTCCCCACCCTCCCCACCCCGCCCCTCCCCACCCACCCTCCCCACCCAGCCCCTCCCCACCTAGCCTCCCCACCCAGCCCCACCCTCCCCACCCAGCGCCCCACCCTCCCCACCCAGCCCCTCCCTGCACGACGGAAGGACGGACACAATAATCCCCTGTGGGCTGGTGTAACCAGGAGGTTACTACCAGTTATTACGGGTGTAGTGCCATCCATTGTTGGGCGCTCTGGTTATCGCCATTGATTCTGACCTGCAGTAGCGGACACTTCCCAACAAAGGGTGGTAGACAGGACGGGTGGCGTGAGTTGGGTCATTGGGCCACCAGGGATCAAGTTTCAAGTTTTCAAGTTTATTTTCAAGTTTCATTTATTAGGCAAAGCCCTGTGAGCCACTCGGCTCTTGAATCGGGTGCAACCGCAACAAAAACAAACATGAACAAGAAAACATCTTAAAGTGACTATGTGCAAACAGAAAATCCAAGGGACCCCATACCCCAAGAGGGGGGGGGGGGGCTGGGGGGGGGGATGCCGTCACATTCCAGGGCCCCCTAGAGAGTTCGAGAAGGAAGGCGTGGCAAGGGGCGGAGAGACCCTGAAACGGGTATAAAAGCCGGATCCCTGAACGGGTCCGGCAGTCATCGTCCACCTGGAGACCTGAAGATCTGAAGATCTGGAGATCTGAAGATCTGAAGGTCTGTAGATCTGAAGATCTGAAGATCTGGAGATCTGAAGATCTGGAGATCTGGAGATCTGAAGATCTGGAGATCTGAAGATCTGGAGATCTGAAGATCTGAAGATCTGAAGATCTGGAGACCTGGAGATCTGAAGATCTGGAGATCTGAAGATCCGGAGATCTGGAGATCTGGAGATCTGAAGATCTGAAGATCCGAAGATCCGGAGATCTGGAGATCTGAAGATCTGAAGATCTGGAGATCTGGAGATCTGAAGATCTGGAGATCTGAAGATCTGGAGATCTGGAGATCTGAAGATCTGGAGATCTGGAGATCTGAAGATCTGAAGATCTGGAGATCTGGAGATCTGAAGATCTGGAGATCTGGAGATCTGAAGATCTGAAGATCTGGAGATCTGGAGATCTGAAGATCTGTGGATCTGAGGATCTGAAGATCTGGAGATCTGAAGATCTGAAGATCTGGAGATCTGAAGATCTGAAGATGTGGAGATTTGAAGATCTGAAGATCTGGAGATCTGGAGATCTGAAGATCTGAAGATCTGAAGATCTGGAGATCTGAAGATCTGAAGATCTGAAGATCTGGAGATCTGAAGATCTGGAGATCTGGAGATCTGAAGAATCACTCTGAAGATCTGAAGCGAAGAGCCCAAAGGGCAAAACCCGAACCCCTGTCTCTGGTCGGGTTCAGAGGTCACCAGTCTCGGGTAGAGCTGCTATAAGCAGAGGGGCACTTTAGTCCGGAGGGGCGACCTCCGTAGGGTGTCGGGTGTAAGGGGCCGTTACGCCCTTAGTGTTGTGTACCCCTTACAGTTACAATACACGTGTTGCCTCCAGCGAGTCTCGCTCTCCCTGCTTAGCCACGACACGGGCAAAATAAAAGTGTATTTGTCTGTTTCTCCCTCGTGAATGGACTTTGTAGGATGAACGCTGAGATGTATAAGGGGCACGGGGTGATCAATGAGGTCTGAATTGTTATTCTTAGGTTTATTCGGTAAAGTGACGTCGGTAATAAATTAAAATTAATAAAAGTAAAAATAAAATCAAAATCACGACGTTTCGGAGGCAACACAATCTTCCGTCTTCAGGTGGAACCGTCACAGCACGATAGCTGTATCAAGTGAGAAGGGTCTGAATTGGTCTGTGATAAGGTTGGGGCACTGATAAGGGGTTGACAGGTTTGGTATAGTGTAGTGTATAGTAGTGTAGTGTATAGTTGTCTAGTGTATAGTGTAGTGTACAGTAGAGTGTAGTGTATAGTAGTGGTGTATAGTAGTGTAGTGTATATAGTAGTGGTGTATAGTAATGTATAGTGTAGTGTATAGTAGTGTATAGTGTAGTGTGTAGTAGTATAGTGTAGTGTATAGTAGTGTAGTGTATAGTGTAGTGTATAGTAGTGTAGTGTGTAGTAGTAGTAGTGTATAGTGTAGTGTGTAGTAGTGTAGTGTATAGTGTAGTGTGTAGTGTATTGTAGTATATAGTGTAGTGTATAGTAGTGTAGTGTGTAGTAGTAGTAGTGTATAGTGTAGTGTAGTGTGTAGTAGTAGTGTATAGTGTGGTGTATAGTAGTGTAGTGTATAGTAGTGTATAGTGTAGTGTATAGTAGTGTAGTGTATAATGTAGTGTATAGTGTAGTTTATAGCAGTGTAGTGTATAGTAGTGTAGTGTATAGTGTACTATATAGTAGTGTATAATGTAGTGTAGAATGTAGTGTAGTGTATAATGTAGTGTATAATGTAGTGTAGTGTATAGTGTACTATATAGTAGTGTATAATGTAGTGTATAATGTAGTGTAGTGTATCGTGTACTATATAGTAGTGTATAATGTAGTGTATAATGTAGTGTAGTGTATAGTGTACTATATAGTAGTGTATAATGTAGTGTAGAATGTAGTGTATAATGTAGTGTAGTGTATAGTGTACTATATAGTAGTGTATAATGTAGTGTATAATGTAGTGTATAGCGTACTATATAGTAGTGTATAATGTAGTGTAGAATGTAGTGTATAATGTAGTGTATAATGTAGTGTATAATGTAGTGTAGTGTATAGTGTACTATATAGTAGTGTATAATGTAGTGTAGAATGTAGTGTATAATGTAGTGTAGTGTATAGTGTAGTGTATAATGTAGTGTAGTGTATAATGTAGTGTATAATGTAGTGTAGTGTATAGTGTACTATATAGTAGTGTATAATGTAGTGGAGAATGTAGTGTATAATGTAGTGTATCGTGTACTATATAGTAGTGTATAATGTAGTGTATAATGTAGTGTAGAATGTAGTGTAGAATGTAGTGTATAATGTCGTGTAGTGTATAGGATAAACGTTGAGATTTATGAACTTGATCCAGCAGCGGATGGACTCTGCCTGCTTGGGTTGCAATCGAGACGTCGTTCTAAACGTCGTGTTCTATCATTTAACTGGTTTTCATTCTCCGTGACGTCACCGAAAGAACCAAAGAGGATGGATTCCTGAGGTCGCGAAAGCTTCAAAATCAACACTATGGGGACCTCATTTGCCAGTAAAAATATGATAATTGGTTCTTTACCCTTCTATCTGGCAACAAAACTGACACCTTTTTGCAAGGAGTCATGTTTGCATAGACCGCAATACCTGCAGTCATCTGGTCCAACCCATATGAGACTAGGCTCGAAGGAAAGCTGTCTCGGGTGTGGACCAATCAACTTCAAGGACAGTGCACATTATCAGAGTTATGTCTTTTGTTTGTATTTATGACTGCAGGTATTGCGGTCTATGCAAACATGACTCCTTGCAAAAAGGTGTCAGTTTTGTTGCCAGATAGAAGGGTAAAGAACCAATTATCTTCAAAATCAAGTTTAGACTCGGGCTGTCTGCGGCCTCCATCTTCCGTCTTCCAGAAGACGTCTTCCATCTTCCACCTTCCGTCTTCAAGAAGACGTCTTACACCTTCCGTCTTCCAGAAGACGTCTTCCAGAAGACGTCTTACACCTTCCGTCTTCCAGAAGACGTCTTCCATCTTCCACCTTCCGTCTTACACCGTCCGTCTTCCAGAAGACATCTTCCATCTTCCGTCTTCCAGAAGGCAACTTCCATCTTCTGTCTTCCAGAAGACGTCTTCCGTCTTCCATCTTCCAGAAGACATCTTCCAAAAGAGAAAAAAAACTACGAACCTCTTCCATCTCCATTTGTGGTAATGGCGGCCTCCCGTCAGCGTGGTTCGTGTTGGTGGTGAGTGTGGGTGGTGATGAGTGTGAGGAGTCGTTTTCTCTTCCTCCTCGTGTGATCGAGAAGTCTGTTTCCACTCGAGAGAGAGAGAGACGGGGGAGTCGAGAGAGACTCCGCTGAGTCGGTGTGGGCTGTGAAAGTTCCAATGCCCGTGTTGAGGCCTAGTGGGACAGGCTGCAACACGTGTTGCGCGAATATTTAAATTTCGATTTAAAGCTTTCGTGACTGCAGGGATTCGTCCTCTTGGTTCTTTCGGTAAAGTCACGTAGAAGGGAAATAATAAAATAATAAAAATAAAACAAATAATTCTCACGACGTTTCGGCCACAACGCAAGTAGCCGTCCTCAGGTGAAGACAGGTCTGTCGAGGCGACAGCGTCTAAAAGAAAACACCACCACGCTTGGAGCGTCTATTTAAGCTGGGTTGGAAGGGGGGGGGGGAAATGCGCATTGAGAAAATAATCTGCACTAATCACATTCCTGCATTTCCCATAAATATGCTAAATTCTTCTTGATATGCAGATTATTTTCTCAATGCGCATTCCCCCCCCCTTTCAACCCAGCCTTAAATAGACGCTCCAAGCGTGGTGGTGTTTTCTTTTAGACGCTGTCGCCTCGACAGACCTGGTCTTCACCTGAGGACGGCTACTTGTGTTGTGGCCGAAACGTCGTGAGAATTATTTTATAATGTTTTATTTTTATTACTTCCCTTCTACGTGATGACTTTACCTAAAGAACCAAGAGGACGAATATTTAATGTTATTGTTATACCAGCTGAGGCACACACGGTGGCTAGGAGATGTTGACTACCTCGCCTGGTATACAGGAGGTCGTGGGTTCGATCCTGACCTTGACGATGCCTGCTGCTGCTGTGTATTTGAAGTCTGCGTCTCTCTCCCCGTGGCCAACTAGGTGCACAAAGACAAAGATCCCCGTGTAGCCTGTAACAGACTGTAGGGGCAAGTGCTGTTAGTAACGAGCAGCAGCAGCGCCTATGAAGGCTACCACCGGCACTGTGGCACACACAGAGGGGGTGGGTGGCCAGCACCACGCCCGGCCGCCTTTGTCTCCCCAGTGGCGACACGAGGTACGCATTTGAAGCCGAGGAGCCACGGTGATGAGATATTAACTACCTCGCCTGGCCTACAGCAGGTCGTGGGTTCGATGCCGACCCTGACGATGCCTGCTGCTGTGTATTTGGAGTTTGCGTCTCTCAATGCGTCTTTCTCCTCGTGGTGGTCGCTGCACGGATTTTGTCTCCGGGTCCTCTCGGGTTTTCCCCTCCACGTTTAGAATCAACATCGCCACGCGTTTTCTTGGTTCTTTCGGTAAAGTCACGTAGAAGGGAAATAATAAAATAATAAAAATACAACAATAATTCTCACGACGTTTCGGCCACAACGCAAGCAGCCGTCCTCAGGTGACGAACAGGTCTGTCGGAAAGACAGCGTCTGACGGCTGCTTGCGTTGTGGCCGAAACGTCGTGATAATTTTATTATGTTTTTATTATTATTTTATTATTTCCCTTCTACGTGACTTTACCGAAAGAACCAAAAAGATGAATCCCTGCAGTCACGAAAGCTTTAAATCGAAATCGCCACACGTTTAGAGCTGTTTTGCTGCTGCTGTAAATATCCACGCGATGATGATGATGATATCACTCACTTGGCTTAGCTGCTATCATCTGGGACAACCAGTCGGTTCTGAATTAGAGCTTCACGGTGCAGTGGGTCCAGATGGGAGCGTGAGAGATTGGAGATTGAGAGAGAGAGAGATGGGAGTGAGAGATTGGAGAGAGATGGGAGAGAGATGGGAGTGAGGGACATGGGTGAGAGAGATGGGAGAGAGATGGGAGAGATGGGAGTGAGATGTATCCACGAGAGAGAGATGGGAGAGCTCGGATTTGGTCGCCCGTGCAGTTTCGGTGCGTGCGGGTTTTAAACTCCGAGCCAGAGCAGCCTCCCTCGTGCAGAAGGGACGTGGCCCCCCAGTGCCACGCTCCCTTTCGAACGGGGGGCACACGCGGTGAGACAGTGGGGGGCATCTCACTCACAGTGGGGGGCACCTCACACAGTCAGTGTGGGGCTCACTTCACTCACAGCCACTTTGTGTGTCTCTGTCTCTATTGCAGGAGGAGGGGGCATCCCTGAGGCCTGGTGAAGGCTTCCGCCTGAAGATGGAGGCAGCAGTGCAGAGTCGGTGAGGCCGCTTGCACAGAGACTTGTGGTTCACGGTGGGCGCGTCGTAGACACTTTGCCGGCAATGCTGAGGAGCTGAGTTCAAGCCCTGTTCATGGGGTCTGTGAGGGTTCAACGCTGGTAGTGGTCTCTCGTGTTTAGTAGAGACGGAGTGGTCTCGAGAGAGATGGGGGAGAGAGCGAGGCTGGAGAGGGACGGGAGAAGAGAGAGCGGCAGGAGTGAGAGACTGGGGAGAGACGGGTGTGATGGAGTCAGAAGAGATGGAAGAGCAAAATGGGAGAGAGATGAGGGAGATGGGAGAGAAATGGGTGAGAGAGATTGGAGAAAGATGGGAGTTAGGGACATGGGTGAGATAGATGGGAGAGCAAAATGGGAGAGACGAGACAGATGGGAGAGATGAGAGGGAGAGAGATGTACTGTATCTACAAGAGAGAGCCGGGAGAGATTGGAGAGATGGGAGATGAGATAGCAAAATGGGAGAGACGAGAGAGATGGGAGAGATGTACAATATCCACGAGAGAGACGGGAGTGAGAGATTGAGAGAGATGGGAGAGCTCGGATTTGGTCGCCCGTGCGGTTTCGGTGCGTGCGGGTTTTAAACTCCGAGCCAGAGCAGCCTCCCTCGTGCAGAAGGGACGTGGCCCCCCAGTGCCACACTCCCTTTCGAACGGGGGGCACACGCGGGGAGACCTCACTCACAGTGGGGGGCATCTCACTCACAGTGGGGGGCACACTTCACTCACAGCCACTTTGTGTGTCTCTGTCTCTATTGCAGGAGGAGGGGGCATCCCTGAGGCCTGGTGAAGGCTTCCGCCTGAAGATGGAGGCAGCAGTGCAGAGTCGGTGAGGCCGCTTACACAGAGACTTGTGGTTCACGGTGGGCGCGTCGTAGACATTTTGCCGGCAAGGCTGAGGAGCTGAGTTCAAGCCCTGTTCATGGGGTCTGTGAGGGTTCAACGCTGGTAGTGGTCTCTCGTGTTTAGTAGAGACGGAGTGGTCTCGAGAGAGATGGGGGAGAGAGCGAGGCTGGAGAGGGACGGGAGAAGAGAGAGCGGCAGGAGTGAGAGACTGGGGAGAGACGAGGGAGATGGAGTGAGAAGAGATGAGAGAGAGATACGAGAGAGATGGGAGAGGGATGAGAAAGAGGGAGATGGGTGAGACGAGAGAGATGAGAGGGAGAGAGATGTACAGTAAAACCTTGGATTGCGAGCATAATTCGTTCCGGAAACGTGTTTGTAATCCAAAGCACTCGTCTATCAAAGCAAATTTCCCCAGAAGAAATCATGGAAACTCAGATGATTCGTTCCACAACCGAAACATATTCATGTAAAAATGATTAATACAAAATACCTTTTTAAATCCTTTACATTAAGTTCACTTGCTTGCTTGCTTGCGCGCTTACGACCGTGCAAATCTTTCGGTCGTCTTTTAACCCACTTCCCGTGGTCCAATCGAGCTGACATTTTGCACACAGACTCGTTGTGCGTGACAATTTATTTTCGTGAAATTTTTTTCTCCAAAATTTTACACTTTTTAGGAAAAAAATAATTATATTTAATTACCAATTGCTTAATGGTGGCAGGCAATCATCTGACCCATAGGTGGCAGCCATCTCAAGTCACAGGACGAGAGGACTCTAGCCGCCACGCATATAAATGATTTATAGTGAAAAACTTTGTTTTTACGGGTACATTTTTTTGATTTTTATTATTTAAATTTAATATAAAGTAATCACATTTATTAATTAAATTTAATCGTGGCTGGTGTGAGGGGGACGAGAGGAGGAGGGGGCCATTGTTGCAGTCCAGTTACTAAAGAACAGTCACTACACTTGGACACAAAATAAAAAAAATGCTTTACGCACACACACACGTGGTCACAACACGATAGTGAACAGTGTACGCTCGCACGGATGTTGACTCTACGAGTGAGGCACGCCGACTGAGACCGAGCATGGGAGACGATTACCCACAATCCCGCAGCTAGAGAAGAACCATCGGCTCGGTTGTGATCACGTGACGCTCGGCAGACAAAGCGTATTTACTGTACGTACTACACTACTCGTATTGCAAGACCTCGCTCGTTTATGAAGTTGAAATTCAGTAAAAAATTTGCTCGTTCTGCAAAACACTCGCAGGCCAAGTTACTCGCAATCCAAGGTTTTGCTGTATCCATGAGAGAAATATGGGAGAGCGAGATTGGAGAGACGGGAGTGAGATGTATCCACGAGAGATGGGAGAGAGACGAGAGAGATGGGAGAGACAGATGGGAGAGAGCTAAGGGAGAGAGATGGGAGATGAGAGTGAGGGACATGGGTTAGAGAGATGGGAGAGTGAGATGGGAGAGTCGGCAGTGAGATGTATCCACGAGAGAGATGGGAGAGCTCGGATTTGGTCGCCCGTGCGGTTTCGGTGCGTGCGGGTTTTAAACTCCGAGCCAGAGCAGCCTCCCTCGTGCAGAAGGGACGTGGCCCCCCAGTGCCACGCTCCCTTTCGAACGGGGGGCACACGCGGTGAGACAGTGGGGGGCATCTCACTCACAGTGGGGGGCACCTCACACAGTCAGTGTGGGGCTCACTTCACTCACAGCCACTTTGTGTGTCTCTGTCTCTATTGCAGGAGGAGGGGGCATCCCTGAGGCCTGGTGAAGGCTTCCGCCTGAAGATGGAGGCAGCAGTGCAGAGTCGGTGAGGCCGCTTACACAGAGACTTGTGGTTCACGGTGGGCGCGTCGTAGACATTTTGCCGGCAAGGCTGAGGAGCTGAGTTCAAGCCCTGTTCATGGGGTCTGTGAGGGTTCAACGCTGGTAGTGGTCTCTCGTGTTTAGTAGAGACGGAGTGGTCTCGAGAGAGATGGGGGAGAGAGCGAGGCTGGAGAGGGACGGGAGAAGAGAGAGCGGCAGGAGTGAGAGACTGGGGAGAGACGAGGGAGATGGAGTCAGAAGAGATGAGAGAGAGATACGAGAGAGATGGGAGAGGGATGAGAAAGAGAGAGATGGGTGAGAGAGATGGGAGAGAGATGAGAGAGCAAAATGGGAGAGAGAGACGAGACAAACGGGAGAGATGAGAAAGAGGGAGATGGGTGAGACGAGAGAGATGAGAGGGAGAGAGATGTACAGTAAAACCTTGGATTGCGAGCATAATTCGTTCCGGAAACGTGTTTGTAATCCAAAGCACTCGTCTATCAAAGCAAATTTCCCCAGAAGAAATCATGGAAACTCAGATGATTCGTTCCACAACCGAAACATATTCATGTAAAAATGATTAATACAAAATACCTTTTTAAATCCTTTACATTAAGTTCACTTGCTTGCTTGCTTGCGCGCTTACGACCGTGCAAATCTTTCGGTCGTCTTTTAACCCACTTCCCGTGGTCCAATCGAGCTGACATTTTGCACACAGACTCGTTGTGCGTGACAATTTATTTTCGTGAAATTTTTTTCTCCAAAATTTTACACTTTTTAGGAAAAAAATAATTATATTTAATTACCAATTGCTTAATGGTGGCAGGCAATCATCTGACCCATAGGTGGCAGCCATCTCAAGTCACAGGACGAGAGGACTCTAGCCGCCACGCATATAAATGATTTATAGTGAAAAACTTTGTTTTTACGGGTACATTTTTTTAGATTTTTATTATTTAAATTTAATATAAAGTAATCACATTTATTAATTAAATTTAATCGTGGCTGGTGTGAGGGGGACGAGAGGAGGAGGGGGCCATTGTTGCAGTCCAGTTACTAAAGAACAGTCACTACACTTGGACACAAAATAAAAAAAATGCTTTACGCACACACACACGTGGTCACAACACGATAGTGAACAGTGTACGCTCGCACGGATGTTGACTCTACGAGTGAGGCACGCCGACTGAGACCGAGCATGGGAGACGATTACCCACAATCCCGCAGCTAGAGAAGAACCATCGGCTCGGTTGTGATCACGTGACGCTCGGCAGACAAAGCGTATTTACTGTACGTACTACACTACTCGTATTGCAAGACCTCGCTCGTTTATGAAGTTGAAATTCAGTAAAAAATTTGCTCGTTCTGCAAAACACTCGCAGGCCAAGTTACTCGCAATCCAAGGTTTTGCTGTATCCATGAGAGAAATATGGGAGAGCGAGATTGGAGAGACGGGAGTGAGATGTATCCACGAGAGATGGGAGAGAGACGAGAGAGATGGGAGAGACAGATGGGAGAGAGCTAAGGGAGAGAGATGGGAGATGAGAGTGAGGGACATGGGTTAGAGAGATGGGAGAGTGAGATGGGAGAGTCGGCAGTGAGATGTATCCACGAGAGAGATGGGAGAGCTCGGATTTGGTCGCCCGTGCGGTTTCGGTGCGTGCGGGTTTTAAACTCCGAGCCAGAGCAGCCTCCCTCGTGCAGAAGGGACGTGGCCCCCCAGTGCCACGCTCCCTTTCGAACGGGGGGCACACGCGGTGAGACAGTGGGGGGCATCTCACTCACAGTGGGGGGCACCTCACACAGTCAGTGTGGGGCTCACTTCACTCACAGCCACTTTGTGTGTCTCTGTCTCTATTGCAGGAGGAGGGGGCATCCCTGAGGCCTGGTGAAGGCTTCCGCCTGAAGATGGAGGCAGCAGTGCAGAGTCGGTGAGGCCGCTTACACAGAGACTTGTGGTTCACGGTGGGCGCGTCGTAGACATTTTGCCGGCAAGGCTGAGGAGCTGAGTTCAAGCCCTGTTCATGGGGTCTGTGAGGGTTCAACGCTGGTAGTGGTCTCTCGTGTTTAGTAGAGACGGAGTGGTCTCGAGAGAGATGGGGGAGAGAGCGAGGCTGGAGAGGGACGGGAGAAGAGAGAGCGGCAGGAGTGAGAGACTGGGGAGAGACGAGGGAGATGGAGTCAGAAGAGATGAGAGAGAGATACGAGAGAGATGGGAGAGGGATGAGAAAGAGAGAGATGGGTGAGAGAGATGGGAGAGAGATGAGAGAGCAAAATGGGAGAGAGAGACGAGACAAACGGGAGAGATGAGAAAGAGGGAGATGGGTGAGACGAGAGAGATGAGAGGGAGAGAGATGTACAGTAAAACCTTGGATTGCGAGCATAATTCGTTCCGGAAACGTGTTTGTAATCCAAAGCACTCGTCTATCAAAGCAAATTTCCCCAGAAGAAATCATGGAAACTCAGATGATTCGTTCCACAACCGAAACATATTCATGTAAAAATGATTAATACAAAATACCTTTTTAAATCCTTTATATTAAGTTCACTTGCTTGCTTGCTTGCGCGCTTACGACCGTGCAAATCTTTCGGTCGTCTTTTAACCCACTTCCCGTGGTCCAATCGAGCTGACATTTTGCACACAGACTCGTTGTGCGTGACAATTTATTTTCGTGAAATTTTTTTCTCCAAAATTTTACACTTTTTAGGAAAAAAATAATTATATTTAATTACCAATTGCTTAATGGTGGCAGGCAATCATCTGACCCATAGGTGGCAGCCATCTCAAGCCACAGGACGAGAGGACTCTAGCCGCCACGCATATAAATGATTTATAGTGAAAAACTTTGTTTTTACGGGTACATTTTTTAGATTTTTATTATTTAAATTTAATATAAAGTAATCACATTTATTAATTAAATTTAATCGTGGCTGGTGTGAGGGGGACGAGAGGAGGAGGGGGCCATTGTTGCAGTCCAGTTACTAAAGAACAGTCACTACACTTGGACACAAAATAAAAAAAATGCTTTACGCACACACACACGTGGTCACAACACGATAGTGAACAGTGTACGCTCGCACGGATGTTGACTCTACGAGTGAGGCACGCCGACTGAGACCGAGCATGGGAGACGATTACCCACAATCCCGCAGCTAGAGAAGAACCATCGGCTCGGTTGTGATCACGTGACGCTCGGCAGACAAAGCGTATTTACTGTACGTACTACACTACTCGTATTGCAAGACCTCGCTCGTTTATGAAGTTGAAATTCAGTAAAAAATTTGCTCGTTCTGCAAAACACTCGCAGGCCAAGTTACTCGCAATCCAAGGTTTTGCTGTATCCATGAGAGAAATATGGGAGAGCGAGATTGGAGAGACGGGAGTGAGATGTATCCACGAGAGATGGGAGAGAGACGAGAGAGATGGGAGAGACAGATGGGAGAGAGCTAAGGGAGAGAGATGGGAGATGAGAGTGAGGGACATGGGTTAGAGAGATGGGAGAGTGAGATGGGAGAGACGGCAGTGAGATGTATCCACGAGAGAGAGATGGGAGAGCTCGGATTTGGTCGCCCGTGCAGTTTCGGTGCGTGCGGGTTTTAAACTCCGAGCCAGAGCAGCCTCCCTCGTGCAGAAGGGACGTGGCCCCCCAGTGCCACGCTCCCTTTCGAACGGGGGGCACACGCGGTGAGACAGTGGGGGGCATCTCACTCACAGTGGGGGGCACCTCACACAGTCAGTGTGGGGCTCACTTCACTCACAGCCACTTTGTGTGTCTCTGTCTCTATTGCAGGAGGAGGGGGCATCCCTGAGGCCTGGTGAAGGCTTCCGCCTGAAGATGGAGGCAGCAGTGCAGAGTCGGTGAGGCCGCTTACACAGAGACTTGTGGTTCACGGTGGGCGCGTCGTAGACATTTTGCCGGCAAGGCTGAGGAGCTGAGTTCAAGCCCTGTTCATGGGGTCTGTGAGGGTTCAACGCTGGTAGTGGTCTCTCGTGTTTAGTAGAGACGGAGTGGTCTCGAGAGAGATGGGGGAGAGAGCGAGGCTGGAGAGGGACGGGAGAAGAGAGAGCGGCAGGAGTGAGAGACTGGGGAGAGACGAGGGAGATGGAGTCAGAAGAGATGAGAGAGAGATACGAGAGAGATGGGAGAGGGATGAGAAAGAGAGAGATGGGTGAGAGAGATGGGAGAGAGATGAGAGAGCAAAATGGGAGAGAGAGACGAGACAAACGGGAGAGATGAGAAAGAGGGAGATGGGTGAGACGAGAGAGATGAGAGGGAGAGAGATGTACAGTAAAACCTTGGATTGCGAGCATAATTCGTTCCGGAAACGTGTTTGTAATCCAAAGCACTCGTCTATCAAAGCAAATTTCCCCAGAAGAAATCATGGAAACTCAGATGATTCGTTCCACAACCGAAACATATTCATGTAAAAATGATTAATACAAAATACCTTTTTAAATCCTTTATATTAAGTTCACTTGCTTGCTTGCTTGCGCGCTTACGACCGTGCAAATCTTTCGGTCGTCTTTTAACCCACTTCCCGTGGTCCAATCGAGCTGACATTTTGCACACAGACTCGTTGTGCGTGACAATTTATTTTCGTGAAATTTTTTTTCCAAAATTTTACACTTTTTAGGAAAAAAATAATTATATTTAATTACCAATTGCTTAATGGTGGCAGGCAATCATCTGACCCATAGGTGGCAGCCATCTCAAGCCACAGGACGAGAGGACTCTAGCCGCCACGCATATAAATGATTTATAGTGAAAAACTTTGTTTTTACGGGTACATTTTTTAGATTTTTATTATTTAAATTTAATATAAAGTAATCACATTTATTAATTAAATTTAATCGTGGCTGGTGTGAGGGGGACGAGAGGAGGAGGGGGCCATTGTTGCAGTCCAGTTACTAAAGAACAGTCACTACACTTGGACACAAAATAAAAAAAATGCTTTACGCACACACACACGTGGTCACAACACGATAGTGAACAGTGTACGCTCGCACGGATGTTGACTCTACGAGTGAGGCACGCCGACTGAGACCGAGCATGGGAGACGATTACCCACAATCCCGCAGCTAGAGAAGAACCATCGGCTCGGTTGTGATCACGTGACGCTCGGCAGACAAAGCGTATTTACTGTACGTACTACACTACTCGTATTGCAAGACCTCGCTCGTTTATGAAGTTGAAATTCAGTAAAAAATTTGCTCGTTCTGCAAAACACTCGCAGGCCAAGTTACTCGCAATCCAAGGTTTTGCTGTATCCATGAGAGAAATATGGGAGAGCGAGATTGGAGAGACGGGAGTGAGATGTATCCACGAGAGATGGGAGAGAGACGAGAGAGATGGGAGAGACAGATGGGAGAGAGCTAAGGGAGAGAGATGGGAGATGAGAGTGAGGGACATGGGTTAGAGAGATGGGAGAGTGAGATGGGAGAGTCGGCAGTGAGATGTATCCACGAGAGAGATGGGAGAGCTCGGATTTGGTCGCCCGTGCCGTTTCGGTGCGTGCGGGTTTTAAACTCCGAGCCAGAGCAGCCTCCCTCGTGCAGAAGGGACGTGGCCCCCCAGTGCCACGCTCCCTTTCGAACGGGGGGCACACGCGGGGAGACCTCACTCAGTGGGGGGGGGGGGGGCATCTCACTCACACCCACTATTGTCTCACTGGTTGAGGGGGGGAACGTCAGTGGGGGGCACACCCAGGGTAGATGTTATGATGGACAGGGCTCATGCATGCTGAGTCCACGGAGTCATTGCTGCATCTGTGTTTACAGGTCCCACTTCGCTGGAGGAGCCATCAGCCCAGCAAGTTCTGAAGAGGTGGTGACTCCCGACCTCCCTCAACTTCAGTGGAAGAAACCGACTGGACGAGGAAGGGGGGTGGGGTGGGCTGTACTAACTGGTGGCTCCAGTGGATGAAAGCGCAAGAAATTAAATATGAAATCGGGGTGGGGGGGGGGGGAAGCAAAGCCACTGCACACTCCAATAAAGCAACTGGGCATTTTTATTCAGAACCTTGTGTGAGCACTCCTGTGTATGTGGGTGGTGCCGTTTGCAAGTGTGTGTTTACACGATATACACACGTGTGAGTACACTGCATAGGTGTGTAAAGCTGTATGTATGGGTGTGTGCACGGTCTGTGGACAGTGCATGTGTGTACACGCTGTGTGTGAGTGCAACTGCTCCATGTACACGCGGTGTGAGTGCACACGCTGTGTGAGTGCGTACACGGCCAGTGTCTAAGCCACCAGCACGCAGGCTCCCCCCACTGCACGGATCTTCTGCTCTGCGCGGTGGCTGAAGAACTTTGCCTTCACGATCACCGGCTGCTTGGGCAGACGGCCCTTGCCCAGCACCTTGTAGTAACCCTGGGGTGGTATACACACAGGTTACATACAGGTCACACACAGGGTACACACACATGTCACACACACATGTCACACACACATAGGTCACACACAGCTACCCACTATGGAGGGATGGTCAGCACTTTGAGCGTTTCCGGCCAGCTGCATCTCTGCCCCATGTCGACATCTCCCCTATCTCCTCCCCTGCCTCCTCCCATGTCTGCCCCATGTCGACATCTCCCCTATCTCCTCCCCTGCCTCCTCCCATGTCTGCCCCATGTCGACATCTCCCCCACGTCTCCCCCATGTCTCCTCCCATGTCTCCCCCAAGTCTCCCCCATGTCTCCTGTGTCTCTCCGGTCCCCCCCCCCCCATCCATGTCTACCCCCCCCATCCACATCTCCATGACCCCATGTTTCCCTCCCCATATTCCCCTTCACCCCGTATCTCCCCCCCCCCCCACTCCCACGTGTGTGCATGTCTCCCCGCCCGCGCGTGCGTGCGTCTCTCACGGCTCTGACGACGTCGATGACGGGTGCGGTGCCCTCCGGCAGCTTGGCGCTGGCGGCCCGCGTCTGCTCGCTCACCAGCGTCCACAGGCGGTCCACGTTGAGCGTGGGGCAGTGCAGCTGGTTGCGCTTGAGGTGGTAGTGGCGCATGCCGACCTTGCCGAAGTAGCCGGGGTGGCTGAGGGCACGCACGACACAAGACCGCTGGTTTCACACGCGTGTGTGCATATACACGTATACAGGGTGCTGTAAAACCATGTTAACACCATTGGAACCTCATTTGCCAGTAAAAAATGATAATTGGTTTTTTACCCTTCTATCTGGCAACAAAACTGACACTTTTTTTTTTACAAGGAGTCATGTTTACAGACCACAATACCTGCAGTCATAATGCAAACAAAAAACATAACTCTGATAATGTGCACTGTCCTTGAAGTTGATTGGTCCACACCCGAGACAGCTTTCTTTAGAGCCTAGTCTCACATGGTGTTGGACCAGATGATGCCAAAAGGTGCAACTTCAAGGACAGTGCACATCAGAGTTGTGTTTTTTGTTTGCATTATGACTGCAGGTATTGTGGTCTATGTAAACATGACTCCTTGAAAAAAAGGTGTCAGTTTTGTTGCCAGATAGAAGGGTAAAAAAACAATTATCAACATGTTGACACTTATATGGGACTATCTTTTTAATGGAAAAAGAACGGATAATACTGCACTGTTAACACGATAACAAATGTCATGTAAATAGCTTCAAAGAGTCTCCCCCACTTGTTCGCCACCATTGTCAACACGTGGCCTGGAATCTTCTCCAGGTGGTCTCCAGAGGCAGCAAATGTCGTGGTATTGTTGCAAATTCTCAGTGTTGCGGTGACTTCACCATGGCACTTGTGCCAGGCTAGGTGCAGGATGAGGTTACGGGACAGTCTCAGGTGCCATGGGTTGACTGCTGTGCCAGGCTAGGTGCCGACAGGTGACGGGACAGACCCAGGTGGTGCCATGGGTTGACTGCTGTGCCAGTCTAGGTGCAGGAGGTGGTCACGTGACAGACCAAGGTGCCATGGGCTGACTGGGATGACGGTTAGATGCATCAACTGTGCCCCCTACTGTGACAAATATCCCCCGTGTAGCCTTAAACTGTTGGGGCAAGTGCTGTTAGCCACGAGTAGCAGCACCTATGAAGGCTGGCACCGTGGCACACCAAGGGGTGGGTGGCCAGCACCACGCCCGGCCGCCTTTGTCTCTCCCCAGTGGCGATGTTTACTACACCACACCATTACAGCAGATACTCATTTAAGGCCGAGCCGCCGTGGTGATGAGATGTTAACTACCTCGCCTGGTTTACAGGAGGTCGTGGGTTCGATCCCGACCCTGACGCCTGCTGTATATGGAGTATGGATCGATGTGGCTTTTTTATGAGTTTGGGTCTTTTTGAGAGTGTGTCTTTTTGGGCTTGGTCACTTCTCAAACAAAGAGCCACACCACATTGGGGCCTTACCTGGTAAAATAAAAACTTTAGTTTTAAGAGTTTACACGCACGCTAACATCACGGTGGCGATGCCTATTTCAGGTCAAGGGGAGCTAGGGATGGGGGCACTCACTATTTGTCGAAGTTGATCCTGTGGTGGTGCTGACCGCCGGCATTACCGCGCCCACCAGGGTGCTTGCGGTGCTTGCCTGAGCACAGCGGGGGAAGAAACACACCATTATACACAGACACACAGATACATACACAGATACACATATACCTCGTTACACAGATACACACACAGATACATGTTCCCCGTTACACACACAGATACGCCCACACCATTACACAGACACATACAGATAGATATACCCCGTTACACAGATATATACAGATGCATCCATACTGGCACACACACACTGATACATACAAATGCATCCACACTGGCACACACACACACACTGATACAGTTACATGCATAGTGTTACGATGCATGAAGGCTGAACTCTCACCTATCCGGCCGTGGCCATGGCTCACGTGACCTCTCAGCTTCCTCGTCTTCTTGAGTCGTGCAGTCTGAGAGGACGAACAGCAACAACGGTCATCACCCTGCCAGACTCAGCACTGCCCCACTCAACACGACCACCCAGACTCAACGCTACCACCCAGACTCAACATTGCCCATTGACTCAACACTACCACCCAGACTCAACACTACCACCCATAGACTCACACAGCCCATACTCAATACTGCCCAGTCGCACTGCCCATAGACTCAACACTTCCCCTAGACTCGCATAGCTAATAGACTCAACACAGCCCAGACTCACACTGCCCACAGCCTCACGCTGCACCTAGGCTAACATTGACTTTGTAAACTTGGTGATCCCAGGTCACTCTTGCCAATGAGGCTATCCGGGGTACTCACGAATTCTCTCTTCCTTACACACAACCAACTTAGAGCAACACAATTTAATATTACAAAAAATATATCATTATGACTAAAAAACACAGATTTACAGACTTATATTAATAAAATGTATCTTCATCCAGCAGTGGATGAAGCTAATTTTGACTAATCTGTGATGATTATTACAGAGACCAGATATAGCCCCGTGGATTAAGTGGACAAGCGGGGTAGAGACATCAACACAATGATCTTTATCCAGCAGTGGTGAGACCATGATGGTGATTACATTGAAGACCACGTGAATCAGAGAACACACACGGGTAGAGACATCAACACAATGATCTTTATCCAGCAGTGGTGAGACCATGATGGTGAGCAAAGCAGCCTATCATCGTGTGGACATTCACAGCAGTCAAATGCTCCAAAACGCATGTTTCTAAATGGAGGGAAAAACCGGAGGACGCGGAGAAAAATCCACATAGCCACGGGGAGAAAATGCAAACTACAAATATACAGCAGCAGGCGCCAGGGTCGGGATCGAACCCACGACCTCCTGTACACCAGGCGAGGCGGTTAACATCTCATAGCCAGCGTGGCACCCACAATGGTGATGATTCCAGAGGAAGACGTGGATTGAACACACGCAGGGTAGATGAAATTTAATGATGTTGATGTCTCGACCCTGCGCGTGTGGTCTCCAATCCGCGTGTGGTCTCCAATCCACGTGTTGTGTGCAATCACCATGATGATCCATCCACTGCTGTATTTAGATCAATGTTGATATCGCCAGCAGTGAATAGACCACGAGAGTCCCGCAAGGGTTTCATCAAAGTCCCACGTGGCTATACAATGCTCTGTGTGCGCTACGAAGTAAGTAGGGTCATCGCGCGAAACATCGGCCATTATATATGTTCTCCCTCTTAAGGCAGCCCCCGCACGGGCGTTCATTGGTAAATGGAGCGCGTTGGGTTGTTGTTGTACGCGGACCGCCTCCGACGGAGATATTCGCCCAAGCAGAATTAGTTTCGTGATAAAGTTTAAACTTTCTCTGGTGGTTACGGATGACTCCACCACCCCAACTTTAGTGAATGAACGCCTTGCCTACCTAGGCCTAGGCTCACACCCCCCAACCACCCATCACCGCCAAGGCAACTAAAACCAGAGCTTTTCTCAGATCGGCGGTGAGGGACATCGCGCCCGCAACGAAGCCGACATTCGCGAGCGCCGCGCGGACGCTTCAGTGCGGCGGGGCCGACGCGGATGGCCGCGGATGGCCGCGGATTCGCGGGGCCGGAGCCGGTAGCGACCTTACCATGGCGGAGGCGGTCGAGAAGAAGGAGCGATCACGTGACGGGAGACGGCGGAAGTGGGCGTGGCCAGAGGGGGGCGGGAAGGAGGGGGGGGCGACTTCCGGTGGGTTTCGACTCTCGGGGAATCGAATCGGGAGGGAGAATCGATTGAGAATTAAAATAATTAGGAATCGAAATTTGATTTGAAGCTTTCGTGACTGCAGGAATTACTCTTTGGTTCTTTGGGGCCGTCCATAAATGACGTCATGATTTTGGACGATGTTTTTACCCCCCCCCCATCGTCACACGGCGTCACAAAAAGTCAGACCCCCCCTCAAATGTGACGTCACAAAGCTCTGCCCCCCCCCCCAAAAAAAATTTAAACATGCTTCTAATCGCTTTAAACTATTGTCATTGTAGTGCGTATTTAATGTGGCGCTGCACTCTGATGTCGTAAGAGAAAACATTTATTAAAAGTCGATTTAATTAAGTAAAACGTGTTGTCTATATTGATTTAAAGTTGAGCATTTTGATGTGACGTCACATTTCTCACCCCCCCCCCCCCCTCGTCACGCATCGTCACAAATGTCTGACCCCCCCCTCGTGCGTGACGTCATTTATGGACGGCCCCTTTTCGTAAAGTTACGGAGAAATAAATTCAAATAAATAATAGAAGACGACGTTTCGATTGCAACACAAACAACCGTCATCAGGTGTGAATGAATGCAACCTCGGAGAGAGAGACATTTACAATGTAATTGCATTAAATGTAATTGCATTACATTTTTAAGTTTACGAGGTTTGTTTTCTCAAACTTCCATTTTCTCTCCCCCAGCCGCTCTCTAAAATGTTTTACTAGAGTTGTAAAAACTTAATTCTAGATTTTAAGCTTTCGTGACTGCAAGGATATAAACTCTTAGTTCTTTCGGTAAAGTCACCATGTAGGTAAAAAATGAAATTAAAATTAATAAAAATATAATAAAAAATTAACCCGTAAAAACAAAGTTTTTCACTATAAATCCGTTATATGCGTGGCGGCTGGAGTCCTCTCGTCCTCTGGCTTGAGATGGCTGCCACCTATGGGTCAGATGATTGCCTGCCACCATTAAGCAATTGGTAATTAAATATAAAAAATTTTTCCTACAAAGTGTAAAAATTTTGAAAAAAAATTTCACGAAAATACATTGTCACGCACAACGAGTATGTGTGCAAAATGTCAGCTCGATTGGATCACGGGAAGTGGGTTAAAGAACGACCGAAAGATTTGCACGGTCGTAAGCAAGCAAGCGAGTGAACTTAATATAAAGGATTTAAAGATCACGACGTTTCGGAGGCAACACAAGTCTCCGTCATCAGGTGAGACCGTCACAGCCAGATTTGCTGCATCAAAAACTTCCAATTCCTCTCCCCCTGCAGACATGATTCCTTGTAAAAGGTTTCAGTTTGGTGTTTTAACATCTTAACACAGCTGTTTTGTTATTCTTGGTTCTTTCGGTAAAGTCACAATTCTCACGACGTTTCGATTGCAACACAAGCAATCATCATCAGGTGTGAAAACTACAGCAAGACATTTTTTTAAAAAGTGGCGTTTTTTTCCTTCAAATTGGCCAGGACGTTACATTACACGGAGATTACATTCGGATTACATCGCACGGCGATTACATTTACAGTACATTACACGGGGGTTACATTGCAGTCCGTAACACATTCCTGTGGAGGGAGCTGGTAGGAACGTTGGGTTGCTCGGTCAATGGCCAGGGTCAACGGCGGCGTGGTGTATTCCGCAAATATGGCCGACTGTGAGGGCGGGCACAAGCCGGCGTGAGTAGGTTAAACGTTGAGTTTTATAAGGGCACCACGGGGTCACCAGCCCCTCCCCACCCAGCCCCTCCCCACCCAGCCCTACCCCTCCCACCCCCCACCCAGCCCCACCCTCCCCACCCAGCCCCTCCCCACCCTCCCCACCCAGCCCCTTCCCTCCCATCACTCCCCCCACCCCCTCCTCCCCTCCCAACCCCCACTCCCCCCACCCCTCCCACCCTCCATTCCCCCCTCCTCCCACTTCCCCAACCGCCATTCCGCCCCCACCCCCTCCTCCCCCCCACACCCCATAACCCCCCCCCCTCACTCCCCCCCACTCCCCCCAGCCCCTCCCACCCCCCACTCCCCCCCACCACCACCAATCGCCGCCATTGGCCACTGATTGACGGTGACGTCACCACGGCGCCTGTGCCAGGCTGGGTGCACTTCGAGGCTGCCGCGTGAAGTGTCGACGGCTCGACACTGAGGTGGTGACGTCACGCGAGCGTTGTGTTTAACGATTTAACCACGTGACGATATTACGATATTAGCGTAAAAATATGAACATTAGCTGAAGTGATGTGAATACGTTCGGATTACCTCAAGTAATGTTACATTTACCTGAGGGGATGTTACCTCGCATAAGGTAAAGTTACCTCATTTGAGATAATGTTACCTTACCTGACGTAATTTTACCTTTGCCTGAGGTAATGTTACCTCGACCTAACGTTATATTACATCGCTTGAGGTAAAGTTACCTCACGTGAGGTAAAGTTACCTCGCCTTCCATTGCATTCCGATTACCTTACCCTGAGGTAATAATCACGCGTTAATTGTGTTTAACGATTTAACTACGTGAGAATATTACGATATGAGCATTAGCTGAAGTGATGTGAATACGTTAGGATTACCTCATATAATGTTACATTTATCTGAGGTAAATTTACCTCACTTAAGGTCAAGTTACCTCTATCTGAGGTCAAGATACCTCACCTGAGGTGACATTAACTAACCTGGGGTAATGTTTCTGTGGGGGCCGTTGGCCCCCGGGGTCCCTCCCGCCTGCATCCCCTATTCCGTTTACGTTACCCCACCTCCCTATTACCCGCTACGGTTTCGCCGGCATTCGAATGCGACGCCCCTACTGTTACAGCCTCGCGCCGCGCTCCCACGCTGCGAGCATACGTGCGCACATCATCGTCAATCAAACGCCGTGCTCGCAGTATAGCCCTGTGCGGCACGTTACCAATGCGCATCCGTATCCGACATGTAACGAACGTATGCACACACACACACGCCGCTCCGTGCACTCCAACTCCACACCAACTACGCAAGTTATGATCGCGCACCTGTATCACACACGGAGTGAACACACGCGACACCCACTCTTGCGCCACTCTGCGCAGCGCTCGCCGTCTGCTGGCCGCTTGCGTTATGATCGCGCACCTGGGGTACGCCTATTACGCACGCCGCGAGCTTACGCACACACAGTGCCACACGCGTTCCCACACGCAACCCGCGCGCTCAGCTCCGCGCAGCGCTCACTCACGTGGCGAACCACTATGCACACAGCGCACCCACACGCTCACACTGCACGACAAGATCACGCGAGACCACGCTTCGCTATTAATGATTTATTATATGCCACCTGCGAATTGATGTTGAATCAGTGAGTCGACGAGGCTGGCCTATTCCACTAAACCTGTACCTATTCCCTATTTATCGGCTATGATTCTAATTCCCCTTCTTACTCACTGCTGATCCTTCTGTTAACCGCGTGCCTCGGTGCATCGCACGGACGTCCGGGTCGCTGGCTCGAGCTGCGTCTGGTCGCCTGGCGCTGGAGTAAGAGAGAGATTTCCCCTCTGCGCTCCTCTATTTATCCTCCCTACCTCCCAAAGGGGATGCTGCGCTGAACAATGGGCTCGTGCACCCCAAGCCCGCGCACGGCAGTCCCCAGGCGCTGTTGATATGCTAATCAGTGTGCTGCGTGCAAGGCGTAAATCCTAATTACTCCCTTACCCTTCCTAACAATGGGGCTTGCGCGCTCAAGCGCAATTATCCCAACCCTCCATGACTATGCGCAACAGCCCCTGTGACCCCGCTATTCATGCTGTCCCGTGCCTCCCCTGCTTGCCCCGTCGACTCGTGGGGGTGTGTGTGGGGGGAAATGCGCCTCAACCGCGGTGGCCGAATGCCCCACGCCGCGACCATACCATATTAAGGCCGGCAGCAGCGCCGCGGTACCACGTAGCACGGGGGAGGTCATCCAATTCCCTGATCGCCGGAAACCGTGAGAATTAATCCCGATAAGGGTCTCTCGGATAAAAACCGGTCGATCGGGTGGGGGGGGGATGCGTGCGGGTGTGTGCTTATGTGGGGCGGGTGATTGGGGGCAGTGCGGTGGGGGAAGCCGGGCGGCTCCCTGGCTCGGCAGAGCGGCCCCGTCGCTGTGGCACCACATAGCCCCCCGGGGTGCCAGTCCCCGTCCCGGGTTGACTTGAGCACCTCGCCTGGGTTGCCCCCACGAGGTATCGCCGCGGGGTCCGCGGGATTCGCCCGGCCCTTGTGGTTGGCCTCGGGGGTGGCGGCTCCGTCTCCTGGGGCTCCGGCGGTGGTCTCCTCCTCCATTCCAACGGCTCCCCTCGGCCCCTGGCACCTGCGGGCTGGGGAACAAACTCAGAGGCGGTGGGGTTTAAGGGTCGCCGTCCTCGTCGCCCCCGGCCCCGCCCGGGGCCCCTCGGAGCCCGGGGCTCCGTGGGGCCCATGTACTGCGCGAGGCCCCCGGGCACGGGGGGTGGGGGGACCCCGGGGTTTCGGGGTACTTGGACGGCGGGGCTCCCTCCCTCGGGGGCTGCTCGCCACGGCTTCAGTCGGCGGATGTTGACCACCATCTCCCGGCCCCTCTCTCCTCCCTGAATCAGTACCGTCCAGGGTGAGATCTGCCGTCTCACAATCCAGGGTCCTCGCCAGTAGGTGGTCAGCTTCCCCACCTGTCCGGCACCGACGCGGGGAGTGTACAGCCACACCTCGGAGCCCGCAGTGTAGAAGGGGGGCTCCATACGGGGTCGGGCGCCCTGCTCTTGCCGCTGGTGCGCGGCCTCTCCGTGCGGGTAGGCTCGGCCCATGGCCCCTCGCAGGGTCTCCAGCAAGTGCTCCACGGGGTGGCTCCCTTCCTCCCGTTGCGGCGGAGGGACACCGAACAGCAGATCTGCGGGCAGGCGAGACTCGCGACCAAACATCATTAGGAACGGGGTCTGTCCTGTAGAGGTGTGAACGGTGGTGGTGTAGG